GTTGTGAGGGAGTGAACAAGTGAGCGTCGTTACAACTTGGAAGGAACTCAGTTCTTGCTTGCTGAGAACTCTGGAGACATAGAATGGGACAAAACAAGTACAGAAATGTATCACAGTGTGGGAGCTGATAAGAAGATGGTATACTCCTGTAAATTTCAGCTATTTAGGACATGGCCCACAGGCTGTGGGACAAGTTGTATGCAGAAGGGGGTAAACCTGGATGCAGGAGAACAAGAGGTTTTCTCTAAGATCTGTGTGTATCTCCCACTCGGAGGCAATCATACATCAGCAGATTTGTATTCTGATCATGGAGAGGTGAACCCCAGTGGCTTCTCCACAGCTGTGATTCTGCGCCTCATCTTTCATGGTCACGAGTGACCATAGAGCCTCAGGAATAGCAGCACAGTGTTAAAAAACGTGAGAGTTTACAGAAGTCTACAGCAGACCCTCTTCTGCACTCTTTTCAAGAGGAGGGAAAAACAGTTCAACAAAAAGGTAAAGATGGGACCCCCCCTTGCCTCCAACCCCAGTAGTTTTTCAAGGTATAAAAGGACTTCTAAAGAAACTATCCCACCTCCTGCAGAACAGGACAATTGAACTCTGACATCCATGGGGAATTTCCAAATGAAAATTTATGGATTTTTTAGGAATCTTATTTTGAGGTGTGGGGAAAGAAAGGAGGAAAGAAGGAAAGTAAGTTCCATGGAAAGCTGCCATTCTTCATTGAATCAAAAATAGAACTTCTTGGAAGTTTACCAATCAGGCATTTTTATGTGGAAAACATTAACTCTGCAGATTGGGCACTGTCCAAGTTAAAATACACACCAGTTTTGGACAGGAATAGAGTTAGGGGTCTAGATGTGTTCACTCTCAAATATGTGCCAAACAGTCCCTGCTATAGCAGGACGTGAGACACTCACAAAACCTGTTACTTTTCTGGAGCACGTTGTAAGTCTGGCTTTAGGTGTCCAACTGTGCATCCACAGGGTTTCTGGGAGGTCTTAGGGAGTCCTGGAACACAGCTTGCCTTTTACAGTCAGTGGAGATCCAGATGGTACACTTACTGGAGTCCCTGAGCTTTTTTTCTTTTTGTCTGAATTTGACACCTGCGCTTGGAGACATGACCTATGCCTGGCACCACACTTGCAGTGAGGGGACTGGAGGAAAGGGATGTCAGAGTGTGGTTTTTCAGGAATGATAACAGGACTGTTTTGTTCAGTCCAGGTGTCTTTTTCTGAAGAATAAATCCATCTGTAGCACAAGTCAAGGCACAGAAGGAGCAGGAAACAAGCTGGGAAACTGGACATCCCCTGGGCTATGATGGCATTTGGCATTTTCTAGAATTTAAGGATTGCTACATTGATATCTACTAGGGATGGTGTTTCACACTTGATATTGATGCTTGCCATGAGTCTTTGGGCAGTGGATGAGAACTGGAAATGGGAACAGTTTTTAGCTTGGGAGGCTTCCTCCTCCCACTAAAAAGTCCCAGACTTAACCTTGCTCTACATGTGATCTCATGCATGGTAAGGAGAATTTTGAGGTTTTTTCTAGCCCTCTTCAAACTCTTCCTCTTTCTTCAATGCTTGTCATAACAGTACTGGATCACCCACCTTTTCCATCTGCTTCTCTGCATACACCTGCCCATGCAATTCCTCTGTGCTTCACCTTGTGCTGAATGCAATGCTGTTCTTGATGAGTCAAATCCAAGAAGGCATCGAGATGACCTGACTTTCACCTAAGGAAGGCATGGTGCTGACACCCCTCTGGTTCTGCACCATGAGAAAATCCTTTATAGGATAGGTTTGTGTTCCCTTGCTCCACCTGTCCTTAGTCTCACATTATTGCCCTTGGAGCCATAAACTGCATGCACCCCCAGCGAGCAGGGCTTTGCCACCTGGGGCTGCGCTGAGAATACCTGATTGTTTCACTGTAATTTGGATGGAGAAAGCTGTGTTCGTATTCTCGCCTGGGGCACAGCACAGCTCTTGAGCAGGACTAGTATTTCTGGTTTCTTCACAATACCAACTTTATCAGCCAGATGAAAGCTGAATTACTGAGTTTTTCCAGAGGGTCACAACAAGCTTGGCTAGAGCCTTGTGCCAGTTAGCTGTGTCCTCCAAGTGCCCATGGCTGAGGCTGCCCAGAACACGGCCACTGGTGCAAGCAGTCTCTCTCTCTCATAAACACGTATTGCAGCTCAGCATTCTCTTGCTTCTCTATTTTCATGCTCCAGTTGCTCAGAATGATGCCAGAAGCAGGATGGGACTCAGTAGAGCCAATATGTATATGTCTGCATATGTACGTAGGTAGGTGTATACCTGTGTATGAAAAATGGACTAAGCACAGTTCTTGCTTTTGAATAGTATAAAGCTAGCATTTTTGCTGGTGATAACTTCCAAAGGGTAAAGAGAAGTCACAGCAGAGCTGATCCCACATGGTGTCGTCACTGATGGGGCAGGAGAACTGGCTTCATTCATACTCCTAGCAAATGAACGGAGTGTGCCTGTTTGGCAGTCTGTCATTTAGATAGGGATAAGCTCCAGCAAGACTAAACCAGAAGCTAATGAGAGGGGGGAGACTCGGAATGTATTGAAAAATGCCTGAGAAGGGAGGCAGAGGACATAGAGGAGCCAAGCTTGTCTCTCTGTCCAAGTATTGAAGTATTCAAGCTTGCAAGGACGCAAGTCATATGATCTGTGCAGGCCACAGGCACCCCTCCTGCAGAGAGGGCAGATGGTGCACTAGGTCAGGATGTCTCATGGAGAGAGGCTGAGCACTGAAAGAAGGATGGGAGGTTTTTAAAGAGCAGTACAACCCATAGCTCTGAGAGGCAGGGTCTGGCATGAAAATGTGAGCAGACTGGGATGTTAGTTGCTCTGGAAGAGGTAGTACATAACAGCTGAGCAGAAAAGTTAAACTAAGTGTTTTTTATCCACTGAGAAAGTACTGGAAGGTGGTGGCTGACCCTTAGGAATAGGATTAGTGAGCCAAAAAGCAGCTGTGATTACAGGGTGGAAGTGCTATTGATGCACTCTCTCAAGGCTGGGCATGTGCTTCCTCATGTCCTTGTCTCTAAACTCAGGGAGCTGATTCTCTCTTTTTTTGGCTGTCACCTTATGCTGGTGTAAGCGGGTCTCTCTCATTGTTATGCTAATGGCAGAGGAGTTTGTGGAGAAATGGGGGATAGGAAGGAGGTTTGTGAAATGGCTCATGCATTTCTGAGGTATAAGGAAAAGTAAGAGTCAGATGGGAACAGGTGTTTGGTTTTTGGGAACCCTGGGTGGGTAAAGGGTTTGGAGGACATCAGTGGGGTTTTGAATGATTCTAGGCAGGTAGCTCTGGGTGAAGGAAAGGAAGACTTGCCTTTGGGAATTCCTGCTGCGGCTCCTTCTGTGGCCACAAAGGCACAGTCATGCTTGTGGAAGCCACTGTAGCTACTGAAGGCTCATGACAGCTATGCGCAGAGGACCCCAAGGGTCAGGAGGCCATGACAGGAGCTGTACAAAAGCTCTAGATAAGACCAGCTTTCCTCCAAAATACCTGACATCCAGGAACATGGTAACCAAGGTTGGTCATTTTAAGAGCAGCTGTATGGGACACCTTGAGACTGCTCCGAAGAAAGTTGTCAAGTCTAGGACGTTGGCTGGGATCCACTGGAGATGACAGGGGCATGCCTGCAGCAGGGTTAGGAGTGCCTGTGCTGTTATCTTCTGGTGGAAAGGGGTGTTGCTGCCTGCCTGCCAGCCTCTCACTTGTGTGGGAGGCACCTACACAAGGTGGTCTTGCAACACTGCAGGGGCAGAAATGACCAAGCTAGGTGTGAAGTGAGGCATCACACCTAGCTGAGCTAGGTGTGAAGTGAGGCATCACAGAATAGCTGTGAGATGGTCTGGCACATACCTGCACAAATCCCCACATCATCAAACTCCATACCCAATGGACTTACTGTAACTCAAAGGAGGATTACTGACTAAGACCACATTTTTTGACTTTTTAAAGGAAAAAGCGGTGCCTCATCAAAAGACGGTGTAAAGCAAGAAAACCCAATAAAGTCACAGTGCCAGGAAGTACAGAACAAACCCACATCCCATCAGAACTAACATGCCTGTAGCTTTGCATCCAAAAATATTAGTCCATTTATTGCCCATTAAAAATTCCCTTTGTCTCTTCTCAGTTGTGGTGCATGCTTGAGATCTTAAAGATGGCACTGTCAGTCTTTAAAGTAATATTTGAGATTAATTTACTCATTAACTTTCAAACGCAGGACACTTTGAAAACCTTTTCCTAAGGGCATCCCTGTGTTCTTTCTGAGGGAGTTACTGTTGTCTTCCCACCTCCCCTGAAGGGTTGTTTATAATACCATCTCTCCCTTTTAATCCTCTTTTCCTTTCATGTCTAACAAACAGTGTTAAACAGAACACAGGGTGAAAAAGCAGATCTCACACATTATAATCATCTATAGTTGACTGAAGAAACACTTCACAATTAGAGGTCTCGTTTTGTAAATTAATGCTCAAGAAGCTTTTTCCTATGTATTTTCCAGATCAAACCTCTGTTCTTCGGAGCTCAAGGTTTGTATATACAGTAACTAAGATAAAGGGTTTCTGAGTTGATATGCAGTCTGTACAGACTGAGCTACTACAAACAGGATTTCTCTTATGAGGTCCTGTATAGAGAGATGTCTAGAGATATTCACACAGGAATATGGGCAGTACTGAGATGTTGAACTATGACAGAAAACATTACATTTCAAAACTAGCCACTGTTTCTGCTGAGTGTTTTTACAATATGTCTCGATTTTTCTAGCTCTTTTTGCCCTATATCTGAGCACTTTAAGATGTGAATATATTTATAGTCACAATTTTTCCATGAGGTGGTGTGGAACTCCACATTATACAGATCTGAGAGGCTATAGTTTGATGCTGCACTTCTTTCAGCAGCAGTGCCAACATAAGCATCCCTTGATTCCCCTTTCCCTTCTCCCACCACTCACTCACCCCTCAGCTGTGCCAGTTTCAATGCTGTGTGGGAAACAAATCACAGAACACATCCAGGTTAAAAATAGCTGAAAAAGAGAGAGAGACAAATGAATTCCAGAACCTGGACTAATGTCCTACATGTACATCCAAAGCTGATACAACAAAACCTTTTTAGGTCGGATTCAATCTGTCTGTCCAGCTCCATCAATAATTTTTACCTGATTTCACAAGGGAAAGGTAGAAGTTTCAAAAGCTATTGATTTCCTTCCTAAATTTTGTGCAAACTGATGGCTGGGTGAGGAATAGAGACCTCAGTTAAAGAATTGCAGCCAGCACTCACCTGGCTAGTGAGTATGTGCATGCTGGCTGGCCACGTATGCATTAGCTGGTCAGACAGCATATATGTACTTGCCTGCAGCCCAGTAAAGGATCTTAGAGCATATAGCAAGGCAAGAGTTGGGCTTGTTGCAGTCATTTTATTTTAGGAGGAGAGGAGAGAAGGGAGATGACTATGAAGCAATGGTCACAGACCCACAGGAAACCAAGAGCCATTAGTTCCACTGCTCACAAAGCAATTAGTTTCAAAAAAGCCTGAAATTCTATAAAATAAGACCTCTTCTTCAAGTGAGACAGTAAATCATACAATTTAGGAGGAAGCTGAGAGCTCAGCCTAACATTCCTGTTCAGACTTCAGCAACCACTTCTGCTTTTAGCACTCCAAACACCAGTGGAAACCACGGATACTGATTTCTTTCCCATAGCCAAATATCACTTAAAGCCCTTATTTCTCATGAATAACTCTTTAAGGCACTTGCTTAATCTCTGTTCCTACCTGCCTCCTTTCTAATCTATAAGATCTTGCCATGAGCTCTCCTCCATTCTCTTCTTTTGTATCCTTCATGCTTCTCCTCTGGCCAGTGAATGGCCTCAACTTTGTTACAGGGTGGTACACAAAATATTCAGCGAATTGTATGTGAAAATTATGAGTATTTTGGTGCAAACAAAAGCTGGCTCCTCCCCACCTCTTGGCAGAGGGAAGAGACCTTGTCACTTTTGATGACCCGCAGAGGGGACTGGGTAGAATGGAAGTCACAGAGGGGTGTGGGAGTCATGAGGCACCCTATGAGCTATCGCTGCAGTCCATGGACAGAAATGGAAGAGTCTTTATATTCCTGTTCTCATGCCTTCTTTTCAGCAGTGCTCCCACCTGAGAGTGTCGTCATCAGCTCTCCAGCACCTGAGGGTGTGCCCTCTGCCATGCCCAGGAGACCGAGTGCCAGAACTAGTTTCTGTAGGGAATTCTTTTCCCCCCAAATGGAAGAATACAGCCATTTTGCAAAGGTGACACTGGGGACCTGTAAAGGAGATCTAAAGCAGAAGCTAGGGCTGCCTTGCTGGAAGGGAGTGCTAAAAGGTCCCAACCTCTCTCCTCACCAGACACAGGAGTTTAGGAGGTGCTGGTGAATCGCTACCAACATGGAGCAGCCTCATGCAGAGGGGAGCAGCCCTTACATTGCTGTAAGTGATGTTAGGATCTTACTTTATCCTTCAGCAACTACAGAATTTGGGGAAGTGGTGGCAAGGGATAATGATCAGAAAGCTGGCAGAACTTGTGTAATTGGTGTATCAAAGGTCCTTTTCCTCTCCTCCAGTCACATTTTAACAGTACCCTCTTTTATTCTATGTGTCAGTAAACAACAAAATTATTACTGATAAAACTTGCCTGAAGCAACAAGACACATGTGAACAATAAAGCACTGAGAGCCACATTTTCAAAAGTGTGTGTGCAGAAATGTCTATTGTACAATGTATAAGCAGCATGTGGTCTGGATGTGGCAAGCAGCAATGAGAGAGGAAAAGGGGAACAGATGGAACCTGTACATGAGTGACAAGAGCGGACGTAGGCTCAGATCAAGTTTTGTACTGTGTAGAGGCTGAGCTTTTGAAAAGCTTTAAATAATAACCACATTTTAAGGAGGACTGCACTAATGGGGCATGCAGATAAGTGCCCTGAATGGTGGAATTGCAGAGGATACAGCAGTGGAGACAATGATATACACAGAGCATATGAAAAGTTTGGTCTGACATGCTAGCCATGCATACAATCAAAGGTGTGCACGTTTCAGAAACATCAGCCTCCCTGAAACCTCAATGACTTAGCAATAAAACATCAGGAAACAATAAGTCAGGGTCAGAAAGGTCTGAGAATTCCACACAGCTGAAATAAAGATTGAGCAAGAGGAATTAGCATCAAGAAATCAGATTCAGATGTTTAAAGCTGATTGTCTGAACCAAGTTAATATAATGCACCATGTGTCACTTCAAAACGTTCGGAGCGTGCAGCTGGGAAGCCCTTCCCATGATTGTGAAATGCAGCAGCTCGCTGTATCTGAGAAGGCTGGCGTAGACATGTCTACGAGGAGGCTATAAATGATGAATTGGGATTACAGCCTTTACTATCCTGGTTGAGTTTTACCAGTTCTCTGGGCCACTAGCACAGAAAATAAGCCTGGCAGCAAGGCCATATGAAGCTCCTACCTTCACATATTCTGGACTTGCCCTCTCTCTCCTTTCCTCTCCCCATGGACTAAAAATGCTTGTGCTCTTTTAGCCAACTGCAAAGTACTCTGGTGATCAGCTTTCATTCTGTTTAAAAGAACGCCTATTCAGCTATCCAGTCTTTTCAAGGAAGATTATCCTCTCTCCATTCCACCAAGTCTAGTGTTGGAGTACACGGCTCTAGAAAATTATATTTACAAACCATCAATGCTATGGGACAATCATGTTTTCACTTGTCCTCACACAGGCACAGAAAGAAGCCTTTACCTGCATTAATGCAGACTAGCACAACAACCACCTCTGTGGGACACTGCAAGTCTGCAAAACTTGCACACTTTCAGTGTTAATTTTTTTATTCTCGAGTGGGTTTATATAATTCTACAGATACACATCTCCTTCAGCCTAGTAAAGTAATCCAAAAATTCAGTAGTGCCCACCTGAAAATCACACCTTGTGGAGAATATGAATCCCATAGGTATGAGGGTTTTGCAGGATGGCAACTTGTTTGGTTTGTGGATTTGTTAAATTACATAGGTGGTGGGAGTGGCTCTTTCCATGACAAGATCAAACACTCATCAGTCCTTGGGTGAGAAACTAATTAAGCAGAGATCAGCATAAATTCTATAACAATACTCCTTCATGAACTATCTGCTCATGGAGATCCATTCTGGATTGGGGTGAAGGTGTACATACAGAATATTTGACAATACAAGTATTAGGCTTTCAGATCATAGATCTTTTCCCCTGCTCTATTCACATGCATTTTCATGGTAGCTGGACATGCGTTATACAGTTACAGGCTAAAACTTTCTCTGGTACATCTCTGTGACACTAAAGACAAATGTGACACTGTGATTTACCTTGTGAACAGACTAGGGTGTGTTCTGTCCCCCATCAGCAAGTGGCAAAGCAGAGCTTTTATATATGGTAAGCTCCTCTCCCACAGCCACCCCAAAACAAAAAAGGGTGGCCAGCCTGAGGAACAGCATCTCAGGGAGCACTCAGAGTCAAAGGGCAGAGGTGTGTCATGGAATTTTTGAACCCAGGCCCTCTCCTGGAACAGGTACAGCCAAGACAAAGTCACTTCTTTCACTCTAACTCCAATACTTGCTGATTTCAGAAGACTATGTAAAATTCAGTGTCTTTTGTCACTTGAAGCTGAAGTGTACAGTCTGGGTTTTCCACCCATACTATGGGACGTTGGTTGGGGTTTTCTCTGTTGCCGACAGCTTGAAATTTCCATTTGCAGCTCCTTCCTGTTTCCTTTTCAGACATGCATCATACAAACCCAGAGAGGCTGCACAAGTTTACCAAAATGGTGAAAAGAGAGGACATTCCTTACCACAATGAAACTTTTAATGTGCCTAGTCAACCTGAAGCAGCAGAGGCAGACCTGGGCAGGCATTTCCTGATGTCCTGTCAGGTGCCCATAACCACATCCTGAGGATACATACCTTGGTGCCAATGGCTACCTGAAGTCCATGTCCAGAGCTCCCATCCTTCCTGGAATGCCAGCCAGCATACTCAGACATCAGCACTTAGGGACTGGGAAGCATGCAGGGGCATTTTTTTAATTTAAAATTTGCAGCACCACTGCTGCCTCAAAGAGAGTTGGGTCATTTACTGCAAGTGCTGAAAAGGACTGTGTACGTGCTGGGGTGCCATACATCTCATGTGTCCCCAGCATGGGAAGAAACATCTAGGAGAGGTCTACTCCCATTTCATAGGTAGACCCAATGGGAAGTGGGGACTTGCTGCCTAGAGCCTATACTTGCCCATGAGCCTCACAGTCCTGAGATGTCCTGGCCATATGGCACCTAACTATGTCTGGGGACCTCCAAGCCACCGTGCCTGGCAGAGAGCTGGTGGAGCCCGTGGCACTGTTCCACCTTACTGCAGCTCCACACAAGAGCTTTGGTTGTTTCCAGTAGCTCCTCACCCCACCCCACCAGCACAGAAAGTGAGTGGTGGCAGATACATCACAAGGAGCAGGAGATGAGGTACCTAAAACAAGTGAGGGATTTTAACCCCCTTTGCTTTCCCTTTGCTCCCCCATATTGCACCTGCCATTAGAATGACCAAAATTATCCAGTGATATCATTCATCACCCATAGCAAAGCCCAAAACAGGTGAATTCCCCATGGAAATTACCTGAGCAAACAGGCTTGTCTCAATGCCTAGAAGAATATCTCTGACCGTTTACTTCTCTCCCAGTCATTTTATCAAGAACTGAAGCTCATTGAATCCATGATTCACTCCCCACTCAGCACTGGCTGACTGTATCTGCATGCCTTGTGATAAGAATCATGTTATTCTTTGCTTGGGTCCAGGGCGGCTCTGATATGTGCTAGAATATCTCTGGCTTGTTACAATTAAAATTATTCCAAATTTCATGGGAGAGGCATTTTCATGCATCGCCTTTTTTATAGAGGGCTTCAGTGGGAGTCCACCCAAAGCACCAGATCAACAACAGAGAAATCAATAAATACCTTAGCATGGTGCTTTCCTTGCCTAAATTTGCATCAAG